GGAAGATATAACCTAACCCAAACCTATTTCTGATTCAAAACTAAAATTTATGCTTCTGCTTATGCTTATATTAATGTTTCATAACTTTTATTTGTAGAACAATTTTTTAATAAACAATGAGCGCCAACAAAAATCTTTTATGTTACTCAGGGTGATAACCTTGATAACAAATGTCAAGGTCAAGGTCATCGAAGCTGCCTCCCCTATATTGCATATAAGCAATATATCAATTACTTCCTTTAGCACTGACACAAAGTAGCAAATTTCTCAAACTTTTTTTGTTTATAACTTTTTGATAAACAGTGACCGCCGATTAAGTTATAAGGAAAAGTTACTCAGGGTCATGTCCTTGACAACATATGTCAAGGTCAAGGTCATCGGCGAGGTGTCCGTTAATGTAAATAATTACCAACATTTTTAAATGGCACTTTAAATTAACACTACTCATTTCAAAAGTTCTAAAAGAGATTTTGTTTTTACTCCAAGCTAATACAATTTTAACGTCATTTCAAAATGGAAAGCGTGCAACAGACTTAAAATAAAATTTCACGCATTTATAGAAAATTTTTGCCACAATTACAACAATCAGTTAAAGATATGTGTCGTGTGATATAAAGCGCTTCTCGATTTAAAGAAAATTAAAAAAAAAATCTATTTTATTGATCTTTGACTATTCTGTATGCATAAGAAAAAATGTTAAAATTTAAATTTGTCATATCTTCAATGAAAAGTAAATTTATGAAAACAATTATTTAAAAAAAACAAAATGATTACTAATTAGATTCTCTGCACTATAGAATAAAATATATAATATTAACACAAGTGTTGAAAAACGAATTAATACATCACTATAATGATATCCATTTTGTTTTCTGATTGTTGCACTGCTTATGAAATAATAAAGTCAAGAATTCACAAGCATTTCATTTCCGAAAATAGACATCTATTTAATATTTAATTATTAAATTAAGTATATTATTTTAAGTATATACATATATAATATATCATATATGTCTCGAAAATGCATGCAACATACACATACACACACACACACATACAACGAATCATATTTTATAATATACAGTTGGCCTCAAATGTACTCGGAATTAGCATTTGCATATTTAAACAAATATAGTCAACTATACCTTATATAATACTTTCGAGAGGATAGTTTCTCTTGTAGCTAATTGCCAACACACATGAGACTAGAATCGTCATGATGTACCTCTCCAAAGTCAAGTGTTCGCTACGAGCGTAAACACAAGAATGAAGCATGTGAACCATGCCACTGGAAAAAAAGGTTATTGCGCTTGCGCCGACTTCGATCGCATAGCTATCTGACAATGAATATCTGTATGTGTGTAAAATACACTTTTATTAAATTCTCTCTTCCTATGTAAAATCGATCGCTTAATACCCTTATCTCATAAAATGGTTAAATTACAAAAGTTTTATTTCCATAATATTTTGTGAAATTTGGTACTTTGAATTAAATAATTTATGATAGAATGTACTCTAAAAAAGCGGAAAATATTCAAGAATATATACTTAATTTAAAAAAGAAAGGGGATACAAGCGAATATTTATTGTTTTCTCCGCAGTTCCGCACGTTTCTATGCTCGAACAATAATGATCTGTCTTGAGACGCAACATTTTAATCTCAATCGGACTCTCCTGCTCGCAATCGGCTTATGGCCATATCAAAAATCAAAATTAGTTCGACTTCAGATAATCTTGTTTTTTGGTATTTTGATAAGCTTTGTTATAGTTCAGGTACGTCTCCATATTCTTAATCGTAGTATTATAGAATATGCATTACATACATCTCATTATTAATTTCATCAAACGCTCAATTTTATTAAAATTTTAAATTATAATCAAAGTTTATATTTAATTATTGATAATAGAATATATTGCAATTGCAATAGATAAATATTAAAATTTTAATACGTTATTAATATTTATTATACATCATAAAACAGATAATTGTTTAAATCTTAGTAAAACATAGATGTTTTCTTAATCCTTAAATGTTTTTAATAAATTAATTGATTGAAGTTTACAGCGCTTATAACCAAAAAATGCACTGTTAATTTTATTATCAAAGTTTTCTCTACCATGATATTCTCTAGTTCGTACATAATTATGTACAACATGTTCTGGATTAACAGTCATCGTGTAAGTTAGTTCTTTATTACGGTAAATGTACAAATAAATGTTTCAAAAAAATTACAATTTTTCTATGGCAATATTTTCTAACTTTTCCGAAATATTATTAAATATTGTTGTAATGGTAGGTGAGAAATTTGTTGGAGCAACTACAATATATCTGTAATGAGTTAAAAGACGAAAACGAATTTACTATCATTAAAAAGTGTGGAAATAACACAAAATTTTGTACACTTACATGTACAGGTAAGATAGTATTTCCTGCCAACTATACTACATGTTATGAAATTGAGAAGATTATAATCTTGAGAAAATTTAAATATTTTGATTAGTTTAGTTAACTATATTTTGATATACTTAGCTTAAATAAAATATACCTTTCCAAAATAATGTAGCTATAAAACTTGCATGGTGAAAAACATTTTGACATACCTATGTATCAAATGAAGATGAACGTGCGAGTGTATTTTTGTCAACAACGGCAGACATATTAGAATTAAATCAGCTGTCGAGTTGTTCAAGCGCATTATTGACAGCTCCGTTCTTTTAAATTGTTTTCTCTCTCCTCACTGTGTCTCGTGTTATCTTATCTTATAATAAAGTTCTTTAAGTGTTTCTTAAGTGAGTGTTTCTCTTTCTGAAAGGGTTAGTGGTATCGCGCGCTTTTAATTAATCGATATCGATTCGTGTACGTAACATTTTGGGGGCTCGTCCGGGATAGAAGACGACGAAGTATTTTTTTCGAGATAAACTTGAACGCAATCATTATAATGAGAGCAATAGGACTCTCAATCTGACAACGCGAGAGTGACAACGCGGAAGAGGTTGCGTGCTGCGACTCCCTTTCGAGCTGCGATTTCTGAAACATTGACGGCGGCGATAACTCTCCAAGTCGCGATTCAAGAAATTCAGAAAGATATAGAAACAACAATGAGCTGGATTTGACACATTCTTATGCCAGCGTGATGAGGAGATCCGTCGGATGAGGGAAAATCTTCAGCAGCGAGATAACCAGCTAAATCATTTTCAAAACAGAATCTCGTTAAAGTATAGAGATCGCGGAACTTTTAATTCTAACAAACTGGGTTTTAAATTAAAACCGGATATTTATGATGGAAGTGTTCCTCTCCGCGAGTATCTTGCACAATTCAATTTGATAGCGCGAGCGAATGCTTGGAATGATTAGTTAAAAATTGTGGCGTTAGCATTGAGTTTAAGAGGAAAAATATGATCTGTTTTGGACGTACTAATAGAAATTAAAAATCTTTGTTTTGTAAAGAATAGAAGAAAGAACTCCTAAATTACAAAATAATTGAGAGGGTCCTTATAGGATAATCAAAAAAACTTATGATGCTGTTTACAGAATTCGAAAATCAAATAGACATCAAAATAAAATTGTCCATGCCGATAGGTTGGTCCCTTATTATGAAAGACCAATTACTGACTAAAAAATTTTGAGACTTGAAGCCCGATAAAAGATAAAAATACGTATCTGGACAATGTTCGATAATTTAAGTTCAAAAACAATGTTATTAAGGAATTTTGTTGTTTGTCTTGCCCCCTCGCTTTAAGGAATTTTGTTGTTGTCTCTTCTTGTAGCATAATTTTAAACGTGGAATTTGAGATGAAACTACTTGGTCTGCAGAAGTTCTTTCCTTCTGAATGAAGACTGCCTCACTCATGGTTTTTTATCCGTGATTTTCCCGTTGAATCGTAAGGCGAATGCCGAAGCAGGAATTTGGCAATCCTTGTTGGAACGACGGGTCCACAGTAGTCCCTCCCCTCTCCCCTTGTCCGAAGATTCCCGGAGAAAAACGACACGCTTATATGGAAAATAGTTACTGTAATGTAAAAAGAAAAATCGGCGATCACTAGAAATTTGTATAGTCAATGGGCTTTGGAAAGACAAGTCGCTCGGTAACCTAGGGCAGCAAATCAGAGTAGGGCAAGAAGATTCATCAAGGAATCCTGAAATCGACATTAAAGATCAACGGATTCCAGAACAATGTTTGCTCGGTAACTCGAGCAGAAACCTGAGGTAGAGCATGGGATTTGGCTGAGAATCTTGAGATCAAGATTTCGGAGCACCAGTGAATTGTCGGGACGACAATTTTAAAGAAGAGAGGAGGCAGTTGTTACGACCCTGTATTATATTTCTGTGCCGCGATGTTATGCCGCTTGTCGCGGTGAAATTGAAGATGATCTTCGCGACAACGTGCGAGTGCGTTTTGGCCAGCAACGGCAGTATTTAATCAGCTGTCGAGTCGTTCGAGCGCGTTACTGACAGTTTCGTTTTTTTAAAATGTTCTTCACTGTTTTTCGTATTATTTTATCTTATAATAAAGATTTCTGAAGTGAGTGTTTTTCTCTCTGAAAATGTTGGTGGTATTGTACACTTTTGATTAATCGATATCGATTTGCGAAAGTAACAATATATACACACACACACATACACACAAAACGTATTTACTATTTGACATTACAATATATTACAGTCAACATTCTGCAAAAATATCACAAAGATTATTAAAAAACAGCGAAATTTGAGAGAGAATTAAAAAGAGAGAGAAAGGCAGAGAGGGAGGGAGAGAGAGAAAGAAGAAAGAGAGGGGAGAGAGAGAGAGAGAGTATTTTGATAATAACTATTAGACATTCAATTTTGCCTCCTTTCTTTGTCGCACTTGATCTAGTGACTCTAGCGACATGTCGATATTACAGCATCGAGAGACTTCTTCCCGGTTCCTGCCGTTATTACTTGCTTCCATCTCCAGCAAAATTTGAGAGAGAATTAAAAAGAGAGAGAAAGGCAGAGAGGGAGGGAGAGAGAGAAGGAAGAAAGAGAGGGGAGAAAGAGAGAGTATTTTGATAATAACTATTAGACATTCAATTTTGCCTCCTTTCTTTGTCGCACTTGATCTAGTGACTCTAGCGACATGTCGATATTACAGCATCGAGAGACTTCTTCCCGGTTCCTGCCGTTATTACTTGCTTCCATCTCTGACGCACAAAGAGTATTATGTTCTGTTATCAAAGTCACACAAGTTCGTTTTTTTGTATTACTACATCACAGTATAGTATCCAGTTTGTATCCACCAACACTCTGTTGTATGTAGAAATATATACTGGTGTTTGCCAAATACGCTGTCCGATTAAATAACCTGCTCTAATAATAACATATGTCATAGAATAAAAAAAACCAATTCTAGAATTATTTTATTAAAATGTTTGTAGTGTTCGCCATATGCTGTGCGTTGTTTGCTGTTCTGCTGCCAATTTGGCCACAGATATTTGGTACTATCTTACACATAAACGAATCTCAAATACAGAGTCAGGCAATGCAAATCACGACTGAGTACTTTATCGATCAAAAAAAATATTTCTATTTAATTTTACTGCATACAAACGCAATATTTTGTATTGGGACGACTACATTGGCAGCGACGGGGACAACGCTCTTAGGATGCGCCATACATGCCTGTGGATTGTTTAGAATTGCAAGGTGAAAAAATAAACTTAGAAATGAACACGATGTATATGACTTGTAAACAAAATCTTTAGTTATTTGTTTGTTTTAATTTGTGAATACACTTTTGGGAAAACTACATATTTACAGCAGATAAATTAATCATAGTTATCGTATGGAGCAAATAATGACGACCAAAATGTTTAAAAATGTTAACCTGAAGGATAGGTCTATGATTTATAACAAAAAAATATTTTGTGCAGTCGAAATACATTGCAAGGCTATAAAGTTGGTATGCATGCGATAAAATTATATAGTGATTATTGTAATTGCATTCCATTTTTCTTAAAGGTTTTGTGAATTTTTATCGTCTACTTTTAAAGGCTCTTTCTTCTTATTAGTAATAATTGCTGTGATATCATTAAGCCTAAATATTTATGGAGTAAGTTTTTCTCGAATTCTTAAAACTTAATGTGTTGAGCAACAGATATATATGTATCATGCTTATTACGAAATGATACATATGTATCATTTCGTAATAAGCAGAATTCATAAAATTCGTAAATGACAAAAATCAAATCAGGAAACAATAAAAATGATTGATAATAGAAATATCAAATAATGCTAATTATAAAATTATAAATTAAAAAAAAATCTTAGCATGTGAATTGTTTCTTCGTATTTTTTGCTTTTTCTTTCTCTATCATTATTATATTCAATGTAAACTATTATAAGTAATTGTAATGATATGAAAAAGGATAATTACAATAATGATGTGTTTTAGATTTTTCAAAATATATCTTTTGGAGATAAGGAAGCATTTTTATTACACTTGTTATTTGCATCTGTTATCCTTTTATATATGTTTGTAGTTAACTATGTCGGGCAAGAAATTACAAATCACAACAATTACATATACTTTACAGCGTAAGATATAGATACATTGTTTATGCAATTGTGTGCACATATAATGTATTTAATATATTCTACATATGTCTTTTATTATTAATTAATCAACATTTATCAGGTAATGATTATTTCATAGATACAACAGTAGATGGTATAATGCACCATTGCAGACACAAAAACTGATACTCTTTATATTGTTAAAAGGTAGCCGAACTTACCACCTCAATATCGGGGGAGTGATTGTGGCATCTTTGGAGTGTTTCGCCACGGTAAAAATTATAAATTATAGTACGGATTTAAAGAGAGAGAATGCTTCACATTAATATTGTAATAGAAGACTTATCTTTTTGCAGCTAACAAAAACATCAATGTCCTACTTCACCGTTATGTATTCTATGGAGGAGTAATGCGCAGATATATTATTTATACATACATATCGTTTCTGATTTAGTTTTCGCGTTTGAAAAAGTAAAATATATAATATCAATATAAATGTTGAAAAACGAATTAATACATCACTATAATAATACTGAATTTGTTTTCTGATTGTTGTACTGCTTATAAATAAAATAATAAAGTCAAGAATTCACAATCATTTCGTTTCCGAAAACAGACATCTATTTAATTATTATCTTAAGTATATTATGCTAAGTATATTCATATATAATACGTCATATATGTCTCGAGAAAGCATACACACACACACACACACATATACAACAAATGATATTTTATAATTTTTATTTTTATAATACTTATTTTTATAATAACTTTTTGATAAACAACAAGCGACGGCTAAAATCTTTTAAAAGTTATTCAGGGCCGTGTCCTTCATAATATATATCAAGGTCACTGAAATCTGTAAGGTCGACCCTATGCATATTTATCAAAATTGATAATGTCAATATCACATTGTGCTAATTATAAATTCAGATAATTTTAAGAATCAGAGATATCTTAACATACAAACTTTTGGGCTTCACCTTTATAATTTTTAATACCATAATTATGATTATCATGAGTAATCTTTAAACACATAAGAAATATGATAAACGCAACCATGATTTTAGGTTTTTCGTAATGCATTGCTTGGAAATAAGTAAGCATTTTTATTACACCTGTTATTTGTATTTGTCATGTATTTATATATATTTCTATTTAATTATGCCGATCAAAAGATTACAAATTACAGTAACCATGTATATTTTACCGCATAAGAAACAATTTTATGTGTCGTTTATATATCAATGTCCTATTTGTTTTACCTTTATGTATTCTACTCAGCAATGATGCGAAGATACACTATCTAGTATATATTAGTATATAGATACATATTTTCTTCGTTAGTAGTTTATCATTATATTATAGATAGTGTCATATTATTTTATAGATACAATGTTCAATAGTATATGGCAGCATTACATGCACAGAAAATGATACTTTTTATTTTGCAAAATGGCAGCAAAACTTTTGACGTAAACATCGCCGGATTGTTTGTAATATTGTTACAGTTTCGCCATGGTAAGAAGAACATGTGCTATAAATTGTAATATTTATAGCTTAACATGTTCCATAGTGCACTATTAAAAACGTTTATCATTACAGTTAACAAAACCATTGATGTTCTATTTTACCTTTATGTATTCTACCCAGCAATGATGCGAAGATACACTATCTAGTATAAATGACCCGTAAAATATTATCCACGTTTGATAAATTTTGCATAAATTAAATAATACACCCCGAGAACAACGTTTAGTTTTTTGACTGTTGCAAAGTTTAGATAATTAAGAAAACAAAAATCCACAATTATTTATCTTTTGATAATGAATACCTATTTTGTGTTATGAAGTATCAACGAGTACCTTTTATCTGCACAAGAAAAATTCAAATTGATCGATTCGTTTTCAAATAATACCGGATTTATTTAAAAAGTTATTATTTCTCAAAGTTTTAAATAAGATATGTTTCTTTTTATTTTTATTTACTTTTATATAGGGTAAATATGCATATTAGGTTACACTTCACCGATGACTTTGACCTTGACATATGTTGTCAAGGACCTAACCCTGAGTAACTTTTCCTTATAACTTAACCGGCGGTCTCTTATTCGTTATTTTTCTTTATTTTATAATAGAAAAATCATTAAAATTGTGAAATCATAACTTTAAATATCTCAGAAACTATAAGAGACCGCCGGTTAAGTTATAAGGAAAAGTTACTCAGGACCTTGACAACATATATCAAGGTCAAAGTCATCGGTGAAGTGTAACCTAATATGCATATTTACCTTATATAGTATTGTAGTTATAATTACAAAGTAGAAACAACTTTTGTGGAAAAATTACAGCTTGCAACAATTGAACAACTTCGACAACATATCGTCAGAGAATGCGGATTCCAGACAAATATTTCAAAAAATGTCAGGACGGAATTTGAAAACAGACTTTTTTATTATTGTTTACAAAATAATGGACACCATTTTAAACGTTTAATTAAATAAAAAATTGTAATAAATAAATTTTTATTTCTGTTACTTATAAAAATTAATGGACAATCCGTAATTTTTCTACAAAAATTCTTTTTACTTCTTTACTATAACTACAATACTTTATAAGAACAATCAAAAATTACATAAATCGTGTCTCATTTACAGCTTTAAAACATTGCAACTTTTTCAATCAAACCGTATCATTCGAAAACAAATCGATCAATTTGAATTTTTCTTGTGCAGGTGAAAGATACTCATTGAGACCTTTAATTTAAGGTATCATAAAGGAGGTAGCGCCATTCAAAATTTTAAAATTGGGGTAGAGGTCGCGTAAGGGATGACTCACCCCTTGAGAGTTAAACTGTGATTCGATGTCCCCCTTGCTATTTTATATTTTCCCCAAGTCGTGTATTGATATCTTTACTAGTTCCCGAGATATCCCGGCTGATAGTTTTCAAATTGACACTCTATATATACGTCATGTGAGACGTGTCTTGAAAAAATATGAAACATAACGCGAGCGCAAATAATATATTATATAATATTTTAAAGTTAATTTTATAAATATATACAAAATCAACGTATATATTTTCGAACGAGCATAATAATATGAATTTCTACTTCGTATAAAGCAGAAAGTGATATATTACATGAGATCTAATATGCAATAAATGTAAATATTATATAAGATAATATAAAAAGCATGCATGTGTGTTTTAATTAAAAACAACAATTATTCAGTCTCGCTTGTTTTTCAAATGTAGAAAGCTCTGAATCACTGTTCCGTACCTTATATTTTGACAGCAATAGTTTTATAGCTAATTTGACAGTACACGTAAAGCGGATCGACTTTGTTCCTTTAGAAAGTCCTTCCACGAGCGCACGCACAGGAATGAAGCACATGAAACTGCGTGACTTGAAAACAGAGCGATTGCGCTTGCGCGACTTCGATCTGAAGGGTACGTGATGGATGTGTTTTATTGTGTGAAATACTTATTTATTAAATTTCCTTCCATGTAAAATTGATCCTCTAATCGCTTCTCCTCACAAAATTTTTAGATTATAGGAGCTTTGTTTCCATAATATTTTCTGCAATTTGGCATTTATCATGACTTAAATAATTTATGACAGAATTTATTCTAAAGAAGCGTAAGAGTTCAAGAATACTTAATTTGAAGAACAAAAAAGAGAGAATAGAGGTGAGTCTTTATTAATTTCTCCGCAGTCCAGTTTCTATACTCGCATAGTATGATCTGCATTGAAACTCAACATTTTCATCTCAATCGGATCCTCTTACTTGCGATCGGCTTATGGCCCTATCAGATATCAAAATTCGTTCGGCTTCAAATAATCTTGTTTTCTGGTATTCTAACAAGCTTTGTTATATTCCAGGTAATATTTTTAATCATAGTATCATATAATATGCAGCACACATATTTCATTACTAATTATTGCAAACGCTCATTTTTATAAAAATTTTTAAATATGATCAAATTTTATATTTAATTATTGATAATAGAGAGAATACATAGCAATGATTATAGATGAATAGATAAAGAGATAAATAAATAAATAAATAAATAAATATTAAAGTTTTTAATACGTTGTTATATATATTATATATTTTTTATATATTACAAAACACATTATTGTTTTAATCTCTTAGTAAAATGTAGAATGATGTTTTCCTTACGTAATATTTTCATTAAATTAATTGTTTGAAGTTTACAGCGTTTATAACCACAAAATGCACCGTTGACTTTATTATCAAAGTTTTCTCTACCGCAATAGTCTTTAATTTCTACGTAATTATATACAACATGTTCTGGACGGTCACTTTTTTTGGACCTTCATCGGCGCATTGATGTATAAAATTAAATTAAAATTAAAAACAAAATACAAATCGGAGTCATAAAATAAAATTATAAACTAAAATCGGTATGAAGTCATCGCAATTATGGTCACAACATCAACGTCCAAAGTGCGCTCCTCCGTGGTTGATGGACCAACAGAGATATAAATCCCATGGTCCACGATTAGCAGTCTCTTTTTTAAATTCCATGCTCTACAACTTTTATCTTATGGTATTTTTCAATAAACTTAATAATTATCCTATTGTTTTACGTTATTTGGTGAAAAAAACTCATTTGTTTGTTTTTTGGCGATTTTTTCAAAAACAAAGCAAAAACGAGCAAATCTTTAAAGAACTTTATTCTTACAATTAGTCTATCAATTCTCTATATGCTTCCAAAGAGTCTTGTATACAACATGTTTACTATTTGTTATTATCATATTGAAAATATACAAAATATTATATATCAAAAATTATACATCAAAATAAAAAGACCAATGTTTACAATTATTTCGTTTAAATGTTTTTAGTGTTGGCCATATGCAGCATATTGTTTGCTATTTTAATACCAATTTGGCCACAGATCTTTGGTACTGTTTTGCATATAAACCAGTCTCGAATACAGAATCAGGCAATACAAATCACGACTGAATACTTTATCGATCAAGAAAAATATTTTTTTTTAATTTTCTTGCATACAAATGCAGTTCTTTGTATTGGAGGGACTACAATGACAGCGACAGGAACAATGATTTTAGGATGCTTTATACACGCATGTGGAATGTTTCATATTGCAAGGTAAATAATGAATTTAGGAAAGAACATGAAATGTATGGCTGCAAACAAAATTTGGTTGTGTTTAAATTCATCAATATTATTTTGAGAAAATTACATATTTACAGCGAACAACTTAATTACAGTTATCGTATAGAGCAAGCAATGTCGACGAAAATGCTCGAAAATATTAACCTGAAGAATCAGATAATGATTTATAAAAAAATATTTTATGCCGTCGAAATCCATCGCAAGGCTATGAAGTTGGTATGCGTGCGATAACAATTATATATAATACTTTGTGTGTAATAACATCTTGTTTATATTGAAGGTTCATCGACATATTGATATCTAGTTTTGAAGGCTCGTTTCTGTTATTAATAACGTTTTGTGTAATTTCTTTGAGCCTGAATATTTTCGCAGTAAGTGCTTCTTTCGTGTTTTTGAAACTTATTTCTAAGCGGGATACTAATGACATCTGATAATAATCAAATTTGAAAAATTCATAAATAAAATAAATATAATAAGAAAATAATATATAAAAAATGGATAATGTCGATATCAAATTGTGCTAATTATAAAATCAGAAAATTTTAAGAATTATATCTAAACATACAAACTTTTGGGCTTCATCTTCATAATTTTTAATATCATAATTATGACTATCATGAGTAATTGTTAATCACATAAGAAATATGATACAATCACAACCATGATTTTAGGTTTTTCGTAATGCATCGCTTGGAAATAAGGAAGCACTGTTATTACATCTGTCATTTGTATTTGCCATCTATTTATATATGTTTCTAACTAATTATATCGGTCAAGAGGTTACAAATTACAGTAATCATGTATATTCTACCGCGTAAGAAACAATTTTATGTGTGTTCATATATCAATTGCATATATGTATATTAGTATATAGTGTATTTTCTTCGTTAGTAGTTAATCATTATATGTGTCATATTATTTTATAGATACAATGTTCGATGGTATATGGCACCATTACATGCACAGAAAATGATACTTTTTATTTTACAAAAAGGCAGTAAAACTTTTGACGTAAACATCGCTGGATTGTTTGTAATATCGTTACAGTGTTTCGCCACGGTAAGAATATCGTATATCATGAACTGCGATATTTATAGCTTAACATGTTCCATAGTGCAATATTAGAAATGTTATTTATTATTACAGTTAACAAAAGCATCAATGTCCTATTTTACCTTTATGTATTCTACCCAGCAATGATGTGAACATACACTATCTGGCATAAATCGCCCAGAAAATATTTTCCACATTTGATAAATTATGCATAAATTAAATAATACACCCCGACAACAAGTAGTGTTTTGACTGTTGCACTGTTTAAATAATTAAGAAATCAAAAATTCGCGATTATTTATCTTTCGATAATGAATACCTATTTTGTATTATGAAATACAGTGTATCAATTTCAAAACTATCAGCCGAGATATCTCGGGAACTAGTAAAAATATCAAAACACAGTTTGGGGAGAATATAGGATAACAAGGAGAATATCGAATCGCATAACTATCGTATAACTATCAACGGGTGAGTCACCTTCTACGTGCTCCCTACTTTAAAATTTAAAATCTCAACTTTAAAATCTCAAATGACGCTACCCCCTTTGTGAAACCTCAAATTAAAGGTCTCAACAAGTACTTTTTACCTGCACAGAAAAGATTCAAATCGATCGATTTGTTTTTGAATGATATCGGTTTGATTGAAAAAGTTGTGATTACTTAAAGCTGTAAATGAGACACGTTTTATTTTATTTTTCTTTGTTCCTCCTTCCATTAAATTTCCTCCCATGTGAAACTGATCGCTTAATCCTTAATCGCCTCTTCTCACAAAATTGTTAAATTACAACAGCTTCGATTCCACAATATTTTGTACAATTTGGTATTTATCGTGAATTAGATAATTTATGACAGAATTTATTCTAAATTCTGAATCTAATTCTAAAGAAGCAGTAAGAGTTCAAGAATACTTTATTTAAAAAAGAAAAAAGAGGGATAGAGCTGAATCTTTATTAATTTCTCCGCAATCCAGTTTCTATGCTCGCACAGTAAGCTCATCTGCGTTGAGACTAATATTTTGATCTGAATCGGATTCTCCTACTTGCAATCGGCTTATGGCCACATCAAAAATCAAAATTTCTTTTTCAGACAACTTTGTGTTTTGGTATTTTGACAAATTTTGTTGGTAGTTTTGACAATCCTTCTCTCTGGTCACAGTTCTCGATTGATTTTTTGTGAGAAGAATTTTAAATCATTTAATTTAAAAATTAATTAATCTTATCGCATTTGCCTTTTCCATCGTATTGTATGATTTTGTTTTACGACTTGTTTTGTTACTTGCACGTAGTTTTTCTATAATGGAGATCTTGCCAAAAATTTAAAAATTGATCGATTGAGAAACTTAAATTTGAATTTGATTTCAAAGTTTGAATTAAATGTAAAGATTAACTAAACTTGTTATATTAGCTTTTCTCTCATTGTTTTTTGTTTTTTAACCTTTGTTTATCACCATCTTTATGACCGTATCGACCGTGTCAACATTAATCATCAATATATTGTAAACCACCAACGATATACGTGTGGCAATAGGATGGACATTCGGACATTGTCATTTATGAGAATCGTCACCAAATTTAGTTCCTTGTAACTTCTTTTTGTTCCCAAAAATGAAACTGAAGCTTAAGGTTTCGAGACGGTACAAGAGATCGAGACCGAATCGCAGAGGGTGCTTTACACGCTACAGCAAAAAGATTCCCAGGGAAAATTTGAAACATGGCAAAAGCGTTGAGATCATTGTATGAAGTCACAAGGAGACTACTTCGAAGGGGATGAAGGCAAAATGTAAATAAGATAAACCTAACATTTTTTATAGAGTAAGTCTGGAAAATTTTTGATAGCATTTCGTACGTATGTATGTTTCTAATATAGGGGAAAGTAGGGTAAAACCGGGTACTTTTTTGGATTTGTCTTCTTACAAAAAATCTAAGAGTAAAAAAGAAAATTTGCCGACCGTTAGTAGTCTTTATTGAACCTTAAACTATGAGAAAATAAGGCTATCCGGCGAAAAAATAAATTTTGGTTATCAAGAATAATAAAGATTTTGTGGAGAAGTCAAAATACCCGATTTTGTCCTACCGATAGGGTAAAACCGGGTATCCATTTGAAAATATGCAAAACATCGTGTAATTACAAAATCTAGATTTATTTTAATCAAAATACAATATAAAGATTTATTCTATTGACAAAAATCACAAATAAAAATATCCTCTTGTTCGACATTGCTGCAGGACTTTCTTATTTCAATTTTTAACTTTAGGGGTCTCAAAAAGTTTTTTTTTTTGTGGTTTCTTTTTCTGAGTGTTAGTTTTCGTTTCCAACTGCTTTTTGTATAGGGAGACAAAATCAGGGTAACAGTTTTCTTCCTCTTTTCATTACATGATATGTGTAAGTACCCGGTTTTGCCCTAATACAACAAAAGTAACAAATACGGCGGTTGTATATTTCGGCGTACAAAGTATCGATCAAAACTAATATGAGATATACAAAATGCAATGCTGCATTTACCGAAACAGATAATCTATATAGAAAAAGTGCACGAAGACTCGATTCTTGCCTCAATATCGATCTTTCTTGGACTAAAAACTTTGAACTTCTATTAAAAAAAAAATATCGTGTGCACAGGGCATGGGGTTTGTTTTAAAATAATGATGGGGCGCCAATTTACAACTAATAACACAATTTAGCCATAAATAGCACTTATTACAAAAAACCAGGGGTACCCGGTTTGACCCGCCTACCCGGTTTTCTCCAGCTTTCCCCTATATACAGGGTGTCCTAGACCACTTGTACACCTCTTTTCTTTCAAAAACTAAGCATTTTAGAGAAAAACGTTTTCAACAAAAATTGTATGGTTTTGAAAAGAACATAAGATGGTGTCATTGGTTTGACCTTGGATGGCATCGTTATAAGGACACGTGAAGGTCACCTTCAATTTTTTAAATGGAACTGCCTACTTTTTATTGCATAT